TTGTATTAATTGTGTAATATTGGGAAAGACCTAGCCCTCCTAAATTCGCTGTAGTTGGTTGTAATCCTGATCAGCCTAGGATGTAGTCTGAAAAACTGGATTACAAAAGAAAAACAAAACAACCGAAGCTTCTCTTGATGAGTTTCTCTTTATGTGTCAAAATGAGTGTAAATATAAAACATGAGTCTGATTTTGGGGCATTTGTTCACTAGCCGCTGTGTTTTGCATATTGTTTTTTACCCTTAATTGAATCTTTTAGATCCACATAGCATTCAATGCATGTCATTAGCTACACTCACAACATGTCATGGATTACATACAATGTGTAGAAAGTGTGTTCTGGGGGTTTTTTATCCTGCTGCCTTAAAACATATCGCTGAGCCTGAAAGTAAGTCCTTTCATCCGACAAGATAACAAAGCTGAGCATTCATCCAAACTCCTCAAAATTCAGTTTTCTTCTATAGGGGGAATCGCTGAAATGAGTTGGAATAACTAAATTAAGGCTATCTAATATAGTTGTATATTCACAGCTTCACTTTTTATCAGTGGGATTCAACTTGAGTGTTTGGTGCTGCTGCTCCCTTTGACTCCTCTGAGGGCCCCCCCCCCCCCCTTGTTTATTCTTCTGGCTTGTCAGCGGGATGCATCCTAATACCGTGTTGTCTTGAACGCACTAGCCGTATGAAAAGGTTATCACCCACACAGCAGAGCTCTTTTTTAAGTAGTATTGTTGCTCTGGCAGACCTGTGCTGTTGGGTGCAGCCATGTTCAGCCAGCCGGATAAACTAACAGTGTGTCCTCAGGCGCCCCATGAGACAGCCACTGACCTGGCTAATATGGGTGGCTGCCCTCTGCGCACACACACACACACACACACACACACACACACACACACACACTGACCTGTAGTCTCTAGCATAGATCTGACTACCACTCAGATATATAATGTAGTGTGATTTAATAATCTAGTGTCGCTTTCCTCTCTTCCTGTTCTCCCTTACCTCTGCACTTTCCTCACTGCAAACATTTATGTTCTCTCCTCTGTGCCTTTGGTCCATTGTTTGCTATGTTCCTATTTTAGTCCTTAGTTAGTTTGCCAGCTCAAGCGTGAACCCCATCCCTGACTCTGAGCCTCAAGCCACTGTCAGTGGAACAAGGAAAGATGTTTTATGTAAACAGTAATATAATGTCCTACTTGCCTGTTGAGTGTAACAATTCCCTCAGAAGTTCACCCAGCCTTGAAGGAAAATACCCACTGAGTCACATCGTTTTTCGCTCATGCTCCTTCAGATGCACCTAGATCTCTGTGTAATGCACAAGCTACAGCGTGTCTGGAAAGATCCCAGTCACTGACATCACGTTCCCGCTGGAATGAATCAGGAAACTAGTCTCATGACAACATATCAGTTTAGTTTGCCAGCATTATACCAAAATCTATCAAGGGCACAGTAAACAGGAGACAGATTACAGTAAGTAACAGCTGACTCGTGAAAATCAAGCAACAAATCCTGAAAATATCCGTCATGAAAGTAAACATGAAGACTCAAATCCTGATGTTGAATGCTATTCTGATATTTATATGTACAGGCATTTAAATATAATGCACTTATCTACATAAAAGACAAAGTGCAGTTGTACTATGTTATGGGGTTTCCTGAGTAATTGACAGTTAAAACAGTAATCAATAGTTAAAATTTGATTGCATTTGCATTTAGATTTGTAAAATGAAGCTCTGAAACTGCTAGTAAAAAGTAGAGATCCAGTCACTATCAATATGTTGATATTGCTATTTGACAATCAATGTTATTAGTACCATTTTCTGTTCCATTGAAGAAAGAGAATAAGAGAATAACTGCATATAACCACATGCCTCTGTTTTCTGATGTTATTTTAGCTTAATTTCTTTATAATCAGGAGTGATTGGAAGGATAAGAGGATGTGACAGTCATCACCATCACAATTATCATCTTCATCATCATCATCATCATCATCATGGTGTTGTTTTTCTTTGTCTTTGATTACATTTCAGTTGTGATGGCGTTTACAGTGTTTGCCCTCGTTCAAAATTACTTATCAGTCATGCAGCTCTCAAAGCCTGCAGCTCAGTCAGCACAGCTGAGACTGAGGGAAGCACAGTGCACGGTACACACACACACACACACACACACACACACAGAAAAGAGAAATAATAGATATCTGGGGATGCAAAAAATGCTTCTTTAGCTTAAAAGCTAGTCCCGCAAATGACGATCGCTCTTTCTCCTGTCCCTGGGGCCTCATTATACTCATGTTATCTGCATCCCATGAGAGTCCCTGATCAATGTATAAAACGCTTCTTTTACTCCTTTTCTTTGGTCTGCTACCTCTGTTCCAGTCGGGGAAGGACGACAAAGACCAGGGTGATTGCTGACCAAACACACATACAGTTCTTATTCCTTTGATTTCAAACATTTTAGTCGAGATTTGAAAATGAGACAAAAAAGAGGGAAGATAAGCTGACAGGCGAGAAATCATACTAATATATTAGCATAAATGTATATATTATGTACAGTGTAATACAACAGTCCGGCAATAAATCATTTCATTTTTGTTTAAACTGATTTAGAGAGGTGTTTATCTGCAGACATTTGTCATCATTTGGTAGGATGCACTTTACAGCAAAGGATATGAATCTAAGTTGTTTTCCAAATGATTACCAGGAGCAGGACTTATAATTTTATTATAATAACCTTCTTTTTTTCAGGTTTGGGCAGCACTAATCAGACATTATCTCTTTGAGTGAGTAAGTTTTTTTCTCCTGAAGCTAAATCTGATGTTTTCTAAATATTTCACAGGCTAATTAAGTCAAATTATTATTTGCATGGACTAAACCAGTGGTATTAGATGACGAATGGCCTGAAGGAGTTTCGCTATGAAGCTAACTAACGCTTCACCTCTGCCCCTCAGCACTGCCTATAATGAAGCCTCAGTGGATCTCTATTATCAAGGCTGTCCAATGGCAAACTTTCTGCTCCTCTGTCTGCTTTAAACATGATGGATGTGAATCAGCACTGCACCGTGTTGGTGTGTATCTGCTCATTTCAGCTTGATACTTTTAAGCTCAACAATGAACAGTGATGTAAAAGAAACTAATTCCCTAGAGTAAACTGGAATAGTTTAACATAACAGATAGTTTTAAGTACAATTACATTTTTCTCCATAAAGGGTTTTCAAACTGTCTCCACACACACTTTCACATAGAGGCAAATCCTATCCATCATACTTCAAGACACAGCAATAATCAGAATGCACACACACACACACACACACACACACACACACACACACACACACAAATAAGAGGGCCCTAGTGACGTCATGTCAAGTATTTGAGGCCCCCTCACTCCCTCAGTAACATTACACAGTGGACACACACAGAGGAAGCTACAATCCAGCTATATATGACCTGACACAGAAATAGTGACTGAGCAGCTTCTTGGCCTTGTGTGACATTTTCTCACCGTGCCACGAGACGCACAGCCAAACAAAACAGCATCCTTTTAGTCTCTCTCTTATCACGGACCTGTGGGTCTCCGGAGCCCCGGCAGAAGAGGATAACGAAGACTTAAAACTCCCAAGAGTTACCAGTGGTGCCTGGCAGTCATCTTCCCTGTGAATATTCAGATCTATTTGTTTTGGGACTGGACAGGATTAAGGTTGAAGTGGTTTTTACTGCACTCTGAGTGAGTTTGAAGGGTGACAAATGGAGCCCACTAGAACAGAACCAACAGAAGTGAGAGGAAAGAGAAACAGCAGGGAGGTAAATTTCAGAAAAAAACTTCTTCAGCTCATCAGAGCAAAGATTTTCTTTTTTTTTTTTTTTTTGCTTTCCAGCAAAATCCATGGTGATTGGTGTGCTTTTCCTCACTGTATTGTCACTGTATTTCTATATTAGACAGAGAGAATAGAATATAATATCTCTCACTATCATGTGTCTATACATGAAGGAAACAGAACTTATTTATTACATAGACATAACAGATACTGTATATGGAACAAATATCTCTCACTAGGAATTGCCTATAAATGAATTAAACATAAATTGTGCTGCTTATTACACAAAACTGATATGATACATGCAGCATATTGCAAATACTTATAGATAAAATATGTGCAGATATGTAGCTGCACAGTAGAATAAAATAGATTATCTCCCACTATCACGTCCAAAAATTAATCAGAAATAATTAGACAGAATATGACACTATGTGTGCAGCACATAGACTTAACTAGAACTATATGACAGAAAGGTATACAGAGAAGATACCAGAGGAAACAAGCAGTTTTGTGTTTTGTGGGTGTTGTCATGTCTGTGTCAATGGCGCCATCAGGTGGCTGAAACACTAGTCTTAGTCTAATAATTCCTGCTGTGAGCGCATGACTGTGAACTGTACACGCTGACAACACACTGTACACCTCTCTCTCTCTCTCTCTCTCTCTCTCTCTCATTGTCTCTTTTAGTTGGACGATCCTGTAAGTGCACTTCCTGAATTGGCCTGTTGCAAGGTGGACCCCGAGCACCTGCTTGGCATTGTGGGTGTTGTTGGCACAGTTCTCAACCTGCTGGTGGTGGTGTTCGTGTATATCTACACACCTGTTTGACATGTCTACATTAAGTAATACAACAATACTGGTATTCAGTCTGACTTGATTGACTTTTGTAGTTGTGTTTGGAACTGTGATTAGGTTACCTCAAAGCTAAAGTCCTTCTCTGTGCGGTGGTAAATGTTTGATCAACACTGGGCAAATTGTTGAGTTCTGTTAAAGTGACATATTTTTGCAAATTGTGTTTGTAATATTACAGTTTGTTTTATTAACAGCTGAAGAAATTGGAAATTGCAACACCGACACAATCACAGACCATTATTCTCATACTGTATGTACTTGTTTTCTGCCTGTTTTTTACATTTACATTTAAAAATAAATATATATTTATAACCAATAAATTTCAAGTGAGAAAATGATTTCAATCATCTCTACTTTTATTCAAAGCCACATCAGTGAAGCATCAGGGCAATGTGTCAATTTATATTATTGAGTTACTTTTATTTTACAGCTTTAACACATGGGAAAAAAGAAAAAAAAAATTATACTATGAGAAAATTGTACAGCTCTACCTCCTTGGCCTATCACAGAGGACCAGAAAACAACAGACACAAAATGATAAGCCATATAAAAATCAGCTCAGTGGTTTAAGATATTATGTTGAGTTATATTAATATTTACAAAGCACTGCAGGTAAAAAAAAATGGATATTATCAATAAATTCCTATGTGAAATGTACACCAAACTATAACTCCTGGAAGAGAGATGCAAAACTTGAGATGACAGAACAGGTGTTTTTTTTCCTCGACTCCTGCTCTTTACAGAAATATCCCCAAAGTTCCAGACACAGGAACAGACATTACCGGACAGATAAATACACACAGTATATATTACACTAAAGTAAAGCAAACATGCTATTTTTAGAGCTTGAGTCTCTCATATTCACTGAAATTATGTTAAAATGTTTATTTTAAATATATATATATCGTTTTGTTTCTTTAAGGGACAGGAGCTGTATAATTATTTGGGTCACTCATGTTAATATCAGGCAGTATTTGACAGCTGGTGATAATGTCAATCTTCTCAGACACAGCCTTCAGGTCATCCAGAATTAATCTGATGCTGTGAGAAGCGTTGATGATGGCGCCCTGCGACGTATTCAGCTGAGCTGTTGCACTGCGCACCTTTCACAAAAACAGTCAAACAATTGAAACGCAAATCTGTTGATGTGAAGTAAATGATTGTTGTAATTCACAAAACTCAGAAACCTGCTAAGTTACAAGTGACAAAGGTATCATAGTGTACACTATGTCACATATTTCTCAGTTCTATTCTACTCTTTTATCATCAAGTCTTACTGCAGCCACTTAGATGCAGCTCTTTGTTACTGGTATGTCACTTCTATGTTTCTGACATTACAGCACACACTTTGTCATAGCCATCCGAGATTCTCTATTTAATACAGGTTTGCAGTACAGCATCTTTTTCAATACTATGCAGCATTAGTCCTATTACTTTTCTTCTATAGAACAATATGTTTTGTGCTCAAATATTTTACTTCAGTTCCACAACAGTGGTGAATAAGTGCAGTGGCATCTGTGGTAATGGTGTAGTATATGGTATTTTGGAGGACCTAAACTATATATAATAATAAGTGTTCTCAGCATACCTCTTTGGCAGCACCGCCATAAACCTGCCGTAGAGTCTGTGACACGTCGTGATACAGATGGCTGTTAGACTCCCGCAGCTTTTGTTGTAAAAGGGTGTCACCTGGAAAATTAACAGATTTGCAGATTCAGACAAAAAACTGAACTCTACTGGTCTTTCTTTGACTGTTCACTTATCCGTTTGATCGAATCGATCCATGACAAAATATTGATGGAATGTAATGAAAAACATGCATTAAACTGAATTACTTGAGAATAAACTGCAATGATCATTTATCATTACAACTCCAACTACACCTCTGCAATATATAAGAGTAAGCAGGGTGACCCGGATGTTTCATTACTTGCTGTATTTCACGATGATAAGAACACCACCACACCACCAATCTAAACTTAGTAGCTTTTTCAGAGCTTTCATTTTCATCTCAAATGCATCAGTTTCAATCAGCGAATGGATCTGGCTCCATTCACATGTGCATTCAATCATACATCCAGATGAACCGTTTACTAAAGAAGGCTGTGAGATACAACTGAATGCTCAGAAAAAGCTAATAAGCAAACTTTTAAGGTGGGAGCTTTCTGTCACACAGTAAGTATTGTTAGTGGAATAATTATTGTCAGGCTATACTCATGACTGGCATTGCTCACCATATGGCCTGTGTGTGGGGCTTGGCCTGTCTTCCACTATGGACTGTATATCAGGATGGTCTCTGACTACGATAAGAGGAGGCAGGTCTCTCCTCAGTATCTGAGCGCCCTCCTGGCTCACTGCAGAGGCTCGGTCTGCCTGCTCCTCCTCCTCGCCCTCGCTGTCTGTTTCAGACGCCTCTCCAGGAACCTGACAGCATCCAAGATCACAGACAAAACAGGTTTGAGATTGTTCATGAATACACAGACAGACAGACAGACAGACAGACAGACAGACAGACAGACACAGACACACACAGACACACACACACACACACACACACATACACACACACACACACACACACACACACACACACACACACACACACACACACACACACACACACACACACACACACACACACACACACACACACACACCTTGGCTCCGACTGAGGCAGTTTGTGGAGCGGGCAGGGAGGTGATGTAGACTTCATCATCAGAGTCTGTCTCAGACGCCTCGCCCTGCACCACTATCTGGTACCTGCTGGACATGACTGCACACACACAAGAGACACACAACGAAACGTCGTTAACTACACTGAAACCAGAGGTTACTGAAGCTAAATAACGGTTATAACGACACTAAGGCAAGCGACATACGAGGTTTGCCTGAACCGACAAACTATAATGTAACGATAGCTAAACGCTCAATATACAGTGAAATAAATACAAAAAGTTCCAAACCTTCTCTGTGAACTCAAAAACACAAATCACATGAGCAGTAAGGAAATCGCTTGTTTTCCAACCGTCACGTGATAAGTGATGTATCGTGTCGTGATTGGAAGAAATGCCCAACTCGTATTATATAGCATCGTTTGTAATTAAAGCCGGCGTACGCCGAAATTAAAGTCACTTTCAAATGGGTGTAAGGCAGGCGATACGGTACGGTGTTTATTGGTGCCCTCTGCGAAAGAGCAATATGTTTTGTTACTTGATTTATGAATTCTTTGAATGCACTCAGTTTTTGTGGTAATGTAATCGATCGCCACCGGGTGCTTTCCAACGTGTTCCATGGGGCTAACTCCGCCTCCCTGAAAATCAGAGGAGCGTCCTAGTGTCAATATCGAGCGCAACCTAGGAAGCAGGCTCGCATATACTTCGTGTAGCCTACAATAATTTGACAGGTACAGTAGATTCAGCTATTCATTCTGTTAAAAGTATTTAGGTTAACTGTGTATGCCATATACACATGCATTGTCCCCCTCCCCAATTCTTTCTCATATGCCGAGATAGACAAAGAAAAAAGCAGTTATCACGGCTTGGACAATGTTGCTAGCAAACAACACGAGCTATCTGATGCTAACAATGTAGCCAACGCTAATCTGTATGTTTTCACATTTACTCTTGCTGTTGTGTCTTGAAGTACGGCTATTTAGGTTAAATAAACTGTTTCTGTTTAGCTGAATAATCACGTCTGTGTGTTTGTCAGGAATGACAGACGAGGCTCTGTTTGAATTTCTCCATATGGAGATCGTGTCCCATGTTTACAAGGAGCAGCAATCAAGTAAAGGAGAGATGGACAACAAGGTGTGTTCAACAAAGGCGCGATTCAATCAACTCAATCACACATAACATACAGAAGAAGCTACAATATTGTACACAATGCTGCCATTTACAGGGCACTCCATACTAACATACATATGCAGTTAGTTCTTGTTCACTGACTAAATAAACCGCTTGAATTTCTTCTCCTCAGGACAGAGCTGTCTGTGTTTCTGTCCTGGAAGGCATGGGCTTCAGGGTGGGACAAGGACTCATTGAGAGGTAGACGAGGACAAACATACTATAAGTACAAGTATCTTACCCTGTGTCTGTCAAGTGTCTTAAGTTCAGGTGTGTGTTCAGGTTGACCAGAGACTCTCCCAGCTTTAAGGATGAGTTGGATATAATGAAGTTCGTCTGCAAAGACTTCTGGACAAAGGTGTTCAGGAGGCAGGTTGACAACCTTCGAACAAACCATCAGGTAAAATTAAAGTGTAGTGTTGAGAAGGCTTTGGTTCAACTACAATAATTTCTTCAGCTACTGAGATGTCTGGCCTTACAAACTCAGTTTCAGAGCATAAATCCTTTCCACCAACAAGAATTTGGATCTCTTTTGTGAAATAGTAACTATGTTTGTTGAGGCAACGAGTTTACAGTTAAGTCAGTTAAGGTCATGGATTATTTAAATGGTTCCTGTGACTTTTATTTGTACACAAATAAAAGTTATGTTTGCATTAAGTGTTACTCACCAAAATGCATTGTGTATATCCTTGAGATCTAACAAACATGTTGAGTGTATTTCCTTCCTTACAAGATATTTGCTAATATAGAGGTCAAAAACTCCACAGGGAACCTTTAAATCTACTTAAAATTATACAAAACCGTGTTGATAAATGAAGTACTTAAAATATACATGCATCTTCAGTGTTAGTTAAGATTTGTTCTTATAGTTTGTCACTTGGGTGACTACTATACCTCTGTTTATTTTCCACCACAGGGTACCTATGTTCTACAGGACAACAAGTTTACTCTGTTGACTCAGCTCTCCAGTGGAAAACAGTACCTGGATCAGGCTCCTAAGGTCAGTGTAAACGCTCTCTCTCACTTTCTCACAAGCACACACGAAAAGACAATAGTGCTGTGTCACTTGAGGACAGTCAGATCAGAAGTAGGCAATTCAGGCTTTGCTTTCTTGTTATGGTACCAAAGCAATCAAAATCAGTTGCAGCAGTAGCTGAGGCTAATTTGTACATGTGTGCTGTTTTCTTAGTATCTTGCATTTTCATGTGGCATGGTGAGAGGAGCTCTGTCTAACTTGGGTCTGGACAGCGTGGTGACAGCTGAGGTCTCCGTCATGCCATCCTGTGAGTACTATCAGTATACTAAGCCATGATTGTCTTTACTCTTGGCTACCAATAGCAGCCAAACTGCTGTTACTCGTGTGAGGTATCCTTGACTTACTTATTTGAATTTTGGGTATATCTGTTAAGGTCCAAACAAATGGTTCACCTCTCCTTCATTTTCTGTTGCCAGGTAAGTTCCAGGTGGTGATCCAGAAGTTGTGACCTGATCCTCTTTGCTACCCTGGTGCTGATGAACAGGGCCTTGTGGGGGTAGGAGGATAGCAGTTCCATTCCTCCCACTGAGCAGTCCAACCACAGAGGGAATCAATCACCACCCTGATTTCTTCAGGTGGGGCAAATAGGACTTACCAGGTTGTGCTGATAACCCGGTACCCCAGCGCAAACAGTTTTAGCCAGAGCTTACCTTACTTGTGGTACTCTGATACACAACAAGATTTGTTGGATTCATTTTGTATCTTGATTTTGACAGAGGTTATTTCCCACTTGAGCTAAACAATGTGTGATGTTCTCAACTTTAGTTCTTAGTAAATAAGTGGAACCCGGCCCTGACTTACCTCTTTTGGCCGAGCTTTGAAAAGAAATATTGACTGTCAGTGGCTGTGAATACAATAATGTGAATGTGAATGTATTGTTAATGACAAGGTAATTTAATATTCTCTGTAATGTGTTGCAATGTTGAGTCAGACAAAGTGCTTACTATTAAGAAATGAAAAAGAAAAAAAGAGAACGATCAGCAGAATTTAGGATAAGACATCACTATGGATAATAATTGCAGACTATCAACTGTCGTACCATTTCTTTAACATCCATCCAAATAACTGCTAGTGAGCCTTTTATCACACCTGACACTGTCTCTCTGCACCCAGCACCTGGTGCTTTGCTCTGCCTTGTAGCAGATTGCCTTTAGGAGCTGGGTGTTTCTTTTATGCTGGTAGTCATTTACATTTCAGTTCAGTTTCAGGTAAAATTTAAATCCAGCATGAGTCATTGGCACAGCCATTTCAGTTTAATTATATTATATTATTAGATGTGATAACAGTTTTCCAAGCCCAGCTTTTCTACAAATGAAAGTGGAATGAAGGCTACTTAATAAGCATCACTCTCTTCCTCTGTGGTGATGTCGTATTTCAGAGCTGACCACTCAAATTAGGTTTACAGGTTATGATTTTTTTTGTACCAAGATGTACATTTTTGTTCTTTGTACAGCATTGATATGTTAACGTATAATATTAAGATTTTCCTAGTATACAATAAGCTGCAAATGTGACTGAGTTGGGTTGTAAGGCTTTGAAATTAGTTTACATGGATTTCTTACATTTATTAATAACACCTTGCTTTGTATCTCCTCAGATATGAGAATTATTATTATTATTTATTTTATGTTGTCAACTTAACATTTTGTCCAAATGGAACAATAATGTTGTGACAAGAATAGTGCAACAACAACACCTGTTGACCATGATGAATACTATAAAGAAATTCCTCTCTGGTTGATGTAGTTGCTTTTTTGTGCCACTAGAGGGACATATAGATCTGTTATTATTTTCATGTATGTTGCTTTACCAATTTACCCATTTACCATTTTGCTAAGTTGTGTCCAGTTTCTCCTTCTCTGTTTTCTCTTGTTGTCTCAAATCTCTACTTTATCCTTTTGATTTACTGCCATTGTTTGTGTGGCAGAGAGAACAACCCATAGTTGAACAAACCTGACTTTGCAGTGCCATGAAACTAAGATCATGTTGTAATATGAAAAAATGATGCCAAAATTCAAAACTTGTCCATGTGTTCGCACAGGACTGTAAAGAACAAAATGCAAATTCTCAAAGAGAACCGTCTAGTAATAAGGTTCTTATGTAAAATGATGTTACCTTTTCTGTTTTTAATCATTCCTATGCATAACAACACATTTCACAGAGAGCACTAGCAACATCAGTTCAATCTCCTATCATCCATCATCCCCGCTTAAATTATTAATATTCCTTGGTATGGAGCTTGGTATTAAGAGGTATGTGAGTGTACTGCGCTTCTGAGATATTCAGTTCTGTCCCAACAGGCTAAAGTATTACTTTTACATTTACAAGAAAATCATGGTCAGTCTTAGGTCTAAGTGAGCATTGTGAATGAGCTCATTCACAGTAAGGTCAACCTAGTTCAGTGAAATCCATCATCAGATTTGGTACTATATAATTAGGTATTAACCATCTGGATTTTCATTATAGTTTTGTTATGGCACTACACTGACATTATTGCCCTAGTTGAATGATTATGGTGCTTTTATTTTTTTGTCTCTGCTCTGATAAAAGTATCCCTGGCTGTATTCCAGTACTCCACTGCCATCAGTGTAATAATTTTACACAATAAAGGTCTTTACATGCAAATGTATCAATTTAATGTGATCCCAACGTGTCTCTCACTTAGTTTTGGGCCTGAAAAACTGCTGTGGATGCTACTTTACATATTTGTTCTTACCACTGTGTCATTACTGTCTATATTAGACACAACATGAAACCCAGTCTCCGTATTCTGTTGCATATTTGACATAATGGTGCTAAAAACAGCTGTCAACAGTGTAGGGCAAAATCCTGCTCGCTCACATATATGGAAAATTAAGTTTAGTCAAGAATGCATAAATCTCAACATCCTTTCTATTTAAAGCACAGCAGATTATAAACAGGCAGATATCCTGACATGACCACCCAGACAGAGTTTGGCTGTGTTCACGGCAATAATGAACATTTCAAAGTTTCATTTTATAATTTGGTTTTAAAGGTTTTCACTCCCCTTTACAAAAATGTTTTGGTGGAGCATCAATTAATAAACTATGCACCGACCATTGCTGTTGTCTCTGCTTTAAACAATATTAACACATCAGTTTAGAAGGTTTTAGTCTTTTACCAACATTGAAACAATTGCCAGCCAACTCAGCTGTTTGTTCACGAACTGCACCACAAAGCTTAAATGGTTGACATAAAATAGTGGGAGGAGAGAGAGAGAATTACTTGGACTGCATCTTAAAGAGGCACTCCACCAATTTTACACATGAAGAGTTTTCTCATCATGCAGAGTTCCAATCGGCCTGTGAAAACAGTTGTTAAATGGCTTCTGTGGCTCCCGAGAGAGCTTTTTAAAATTTTAAGAAATTGGTGTTACAAACAAATGGCATGGAGTTTGGGAGGGGGGTCTAATAAAATGGTTGCCATTGGTTACATAATGGAAAGCATAGGATCCAGAGTTTTTGGAGCTTGACCCCATGCTAGGGACTAAATTCTGGATACCTCAGATTTTGCTTCATCAGTTTTGAGCTCTCTTTTTACCTTTGCAAGTCTCCCAACCTCATGGAAGTGCAATGCTACATCGCTGTAATTTCCCTTTAATATAATCTTAACTCTCTCGTCTTAAATTTTGGGTTAGCACTTGAGTGGGTAATGTCCTTACTTCAGTATGGAAGCCCTCAAGACAAGAGTACTTGAATGAGCTTTAGAGTTCAAGAAAAGTTAAACAAGATCCCTGGTTCTAAGTAGACTGCCTCTCTACCCTGCTTATCTGCGTAGTGCATCGTATCAATGGAGATATCATCTTTTGGAACTTCACAACTGTACGAATGCTGTGAAAGAAAAACACAGTTAGGAAATTGAGTTAGGCGTCTGCATAAATGTGCAGCACCTGACTACGGCCCACACTTTTGCCCATTTGTTGCAACCCATTAAACACTTAGCCCAAATCCTCTCTGCAAAGAAGGAAAAAAAAGTCAGAAGGAGGGATTAGAGAGAAAGCCTGGGAGGGGGTGGAATTGTAGAAAGTTGGTGGAGGAGGGACTGAGAGAGTGGGGAAGAGGAAAATGAGATGGAGAGAATGAAGAGCCTCTACAGGAGGCTGGAGGGAAATAACAGGTGGAAAAAAGAAGTTTATTAGATGTGGGGGCGGAGAGGAAGCAGTGAAGAAAAAAAGAGGAGGATGGAGAAGGTGTTATAGCGGGGGAGAGGAAGAGGTGAGATTGTGAGAGGTTTCTTGTACCTGTACCTGAATGTCTCAAACAGTATGAAGTGAGTGGAATCTGGAGACTCGGGACAGAGGGATGCTGGTGAGGGTTGAGCAACAGCTGTTTTTGAGCTGCTCTACATGGCTTCGCTCCCCTTCCTCCTGCTTTACCCTGCATCACAATGTCACCAAGACGCTCACAAAGGCGAACGGTGTATGGAAGGAGGAGGAGGAGGAGGAGGAGGAGGAGGGACTAGAAGAGAGAAAGGATGTGGGGGTTTGCAAGTAAAATCAGCATTCAGTCTCCCAAAATGATGACTTGCTACAATTCAGTAACACTGTCCACATGGACTGGCTGAAGTCTTTTGTAGTGTGAGAAACTGACAGAGACTATTGATCTGGGTTGGGCTTATTGAAAGCAGCTCACTCAGTTCCTTAATTTGGTAGAAATCACCGGTCACAATTTAAAATCAGTGTTGAACCCTGACAATTTGGTAGCAGCCATTAAATTAAAATCAAATTTTAAATTACAAAACATTGTAAGTTAAATGGTAAACTGAATAATCTGTACAGCTGTGTAACATCCACATGTCCGAGTAAAGATCGTATAACAGCTCTCCATAAGAGTCAATGTTTTGATGCTACCTGGATGCTAACAGAACGATGTTAACAGAATAAAGTATGCTATAGCTACATAGTTTAATTTAAACTTTTTTATTCTTTAGTAGTAGCATTTAGGTAGGTTAACTAGCAGCAGCATAGCATTCTAACAAATCTGTTGAGGACCAAGTTTCTATATTTAACGACCGGTATGATCTGACAGAATGCCGCCCACTTTCATCCTCCCAAGTTGTCACCATCCCTTCTTTATCTCACCGCCTCTTTCTCACCGCTTCTTTTCTGCCCCCACTGTTACCTTTTTTTTCCCTTCTCATCTACCTATTCAACTTCCTCCACTCATGCATAGTTAAGAGTGAGATTCTCTGTCTCACACACACAAACCCAAACTGTCTCTTGGGGCCATATGTTGACCCGCAGTGGACCTGAATACAGCCATCTGCCTGCCTTTCCTATGTCCCACAGGGCAAGAGTGTGGGAGAATGTCTATCAGACACAATACAGCACACGCGCACACGCGCACGCGCGCACACACACACATACAGAGAAACCATACGAGCACACACATGCCTTTAACCCCTTCACAGCCACTAATCACTCCCAGACAGCCAGCCCATCTCATGTTAACAGTGACAAGATAATAGGTCTTGTGTGTGTGTGTGTGTGTGTGTGTGTGTGTGTGTGTGTGTGTGTGTGTGTGTGTGTGTGTGTGTGTGTGTGAAAGAGAGATTCCTGGAGGGTCAGCCATGAGTATGCATCTTAAGCCCTGCCCTCTCTTTTTTATGGGACATTGAGAATCTACTTTTGTAGATTTTTCTTGAGGAAGAAAGTTTTCCTTTTTTTTTTATTTTTTATTTTGTGAATGTGGTATGAGATTTGCACTGGATAGTTTGATTTACACACCATAGCAGATGAAACTACCACTCAGCTGGTACGCAGAGTTGAACCACTGAGGGAGAGACGGTGGGATGTAACTGAAGCAAAGGAGAGGGGCAAAGTGAGGGAGGAAGGATGGAATCACTGGAGGCAGTGAGGGAGACGGGAAATGGGTGGGAGCCCAGAATTGGTAAGATTAAACCCCAAACAAAGGACTTCTTATCTCCACATGAAATCTTAGTGGCATGACTACACACACACACACACACACACGAGCACACACACGAACACCAGTTTCCTGCTATCCTACAGCACAGTGGGTAGGATGGGCATGACTGGACAAACTCTCGAAAAATTGATTTTGATTTGAAAATTTTGCAATCAGGAAATGTGTAACTGCCCAAGAACTTTTAGAATAAGAGACCACAATGTAGCATACACACACACACACACACACACACACACACACACACACACACACACACACACACACACACACACACACACACACACACACACACACGTACATTAACCTTTAAGACCCCACATTAGTTGCCAATTGCTATGGTTTGAATTTACTTTCTTTTACTATTCATACTTTTTCCTCTTTTATTCAGAAGATGTAGAAAAACTGCTAAAGCCTTAAGGTATAAAAACCTGGTTAGATTTTCATTGACTTACGAAGCAATCATCAGCATTGGGTTGTAAGCCTAATCTTCAAGCAGACACAGCATCATGGAGGAATTCAGTGATTCTGGTGAAGTTTCACTTCTGTATAGTTTAAGCTATGGGTGGAAATAGAAGCGTCTAGTGTTTGAATCTAGCCCTTTTGAATAAACTGTAATCCACATTTCACGCTAAAGGAGTTCTTGAAAAACCAAACTATGTCTAAGCCTAAAAAAAAAAAAAACAAATTAAAACACCTGCAATAAAAATCAATAAAAAATGTTTTGTCACAAAGCTGAAAACTTTTTTTTTTTTTCCGTTTTGAGGTATATGGTTTACATTGATACGTTTGTGTCCTTGTCATCTAGTTTGTTTATCTGTCTTACTAATCACTCACTGTGTACGCCTCTAGTTTGAGATATCAGCTTCAGTGTAAAGTGCATTAGTTTCATCTTCACTTTTGACATTGTGTATAGAAAGAGTTAAGCTCAACAGTACAGAGCCACTGGGGGAGTGTGATCTAGAATAAAAAAAAATAAATTACAGTTCATTGGTTTTCAGCTTCCTTCCTTCCTGCAGCTTGCACCTGAGGTGTCACAAATGTGTTGCAAATATATTATAACAGCATATCCTACAAGCAGGCAAATGTACACAAATGTCATAACCTGCGCATTGCTGCATCAGCACCTCAGCTCAAGGTTTCAGAGCAGAGGTGTCTGCGTGTGTAGATTATGCTTCTACTGGATCAAGTAAAAACCTGAAAGGTAAGTATGTAAAATAAACTAAAATAGTCACTTAAAAAAACAAAACTTTATTTCCAGTACAAAAGAAGCAAAAGAAACCCAAATATATTAAACTTGATACAAGCATTAACAACTCAAAGTCCTCTATAAATACGTTAAAATAAATTAAAGAAATTAATTTACTAAAGATTATCACCTTCAACACTGAACAGGCCTCAAACATGTTGATGAAAAGGCAATTTTAAATAGACCAGTAACAGCACAGTGTCCGCTCTTCTAACAAACTACATCATAAACACACAAAACAGCTGAGAAACAATTTCTAAAACACTAAGCATATGTACTCTAACCCTACAGTATGCTGGATCTAGCACAGTAAGGCAACACACCTGGGAGCACAGTATTCACGGATGCGACTCGCGTCACATTTGTAACAGTACAAAGCCAGAACAGGAAGAATTAATACTGAATGACAGAGAGATGGAAAGTAATGGGGTGAGTCACAAAAACATGAATATTCATCAAAAATGTAACATCAGTGGTGCCTGTGGACAAGGGAGGAAATAAATCCCACGCCTGGGAATGTTTGTGTTTAAGATAATCTAAAATACATACTAGCACCACTAATGTTTTGGAAAACTTGCCAGAGGTAAAAAAAAACCCCAAAAAAACAGGGCTTTTGTGAAGTAGTCATTTGACTTGGTTAAACTTTACTTCTGAGCCAAGTGCCTTGAAACCCAAGCTGAGCTCACACCTCATCAAATTACACAAAATAACACGCACAATAGTGTGATGGCATCTCATTTATGTTTTTGTCCACCTTAGACTGCCAGTACAGATGGATTTTCTTCAATGCCTGCTGTTTCTACTGGCACACTTCACATATGAAAGCCCATAAAATTCCCATGCTCTGTTTTCTCAGCTGGCAAGTCATACAGACAAACGATATGTCATGAACATGGGATTTGAAAAAGTACGATCAAGCCCATTTGGCTTTTGTTGTAAGCTCATACCAAGCCCCTCCTCCTCCTCTCGTAGGGCAGGTTAAATTTGGTCATTTGGCATTTTACTTGTGGCAGTTTGTCAACAATGCATGAGAGACAGAAGAACAACACTTTTATAGGTATCTTAAACAAGATAGAGACCTGAACTCATACTAGCTTATGTGACTAAAAGAAAAAAAAAAAAAAGGAAATTAAAAGACTCGCATCCCTCGTCAGATCTCACATCTCTCCTAACAACCCAGCAAATCTTGGTTCAACACTAACATGACCTGTTAAAATAACCATACAGGCACTTGAGCTGTTTAAAAACTTAACATTCAGGTTCGAGGCCAGTGATAGACACACAACCTCAGACTGTGCAGTTATGAGGGGAAAAAAAATAACAATTTCACCAGCTTATCAACACAATACTGTGTACAGTTAACGGAAAAACAACAACTACAGAACGTAGGTCACATTATGTGTTTGTCCCACCATAATGAAAACATTTCAGCTACAAACAGATGTCTTTGGCTTTATCACATTCTTTTAAACACTCGGAAGAGGCTGATAAAATGTAAATATGAATGGAGAGGTTGGACTAAACGACAAATGGCACTGAGGACAATCACACTGTGATTAAAATATCTGTCTCGCAATCTGCCATCTCGACTTACTATTTCGATAAAGCATCAAACACCTCCACCACTTTTAGACTTCTATCTTGATATGTACTCTGTTTTGGTGGCAACACATTTTAATTTCTACATCACCGTGGCTTCCCTTAATCACATGACAGCGGCAATTTAGCCATAAATCTAACAGGCAATTTTCTGTCAGTGTGCTGAGTCAGTCACTTAAGTCTTTGTTTCCTTTGACGCCACACAGGTGCAAAGGATGTCTGAGGTGTCGGCCCTGTGGCTCTGTGTGAGAGGGGAATGTGCATTTATGTGTCAAATGCAAGATTATGTGTGCTTGAGCATGGATATGTGTGTGCTGCATATATTGTGTCTCAACAGCGTGTCCAGGGTCTGCATGTCTGAATGTGTGTAAATATGTATGTTTGTGTCTGTGTTTCTGCCTAAAGGCAGAGCCCAGTAGCGTCCTAGGGAACAGAGAGCTGACTGAATACAGCCAGACGTCTGGCGTTGCTTTCGTTAATGCCACCGCAGGATTCGGAGCCACTGAGTGAGCATGCAGAGCTGCTTCCGTCTTGGTCCTGGTCTGACAGAGAGGTGTAGGACAGGGATCTAGCACCCAGTGGTCCTGAAAAGACTCCAGTGGCACTGGGACTTTGCCTCAGGGAAGGGGAGCCGGTCGGAGAGAGTCCACATGGAGAGCAGCCGGAGTCTGGGGAAGGCAAAAATGGAGACTGGAGATCTGCTGCAGTGGCGTGGCCCATGGGAGGTTGGTACTGGTGGGTAGTGGAAGCTTCGAAGGCAGAGTCCATCTCCAGGAAGGCATGAGACAGGAGGTCAGTTATGTCAGCGCAGGAAGGAGGAGAGGCCGAGAGATCAGGTGTGAAAGACGCGGTGGCAGGAGGAGGATGACCAGAGAGGGCATGCTGAAGGGCTTGCTGAGGAGCAGAGGGAAATCCAGCAAAGCTGAAGCTCTGTCTGACAAGAGGAGGTCTGTGTGTGTGGGAGGAGCAAGGCGGCTGCTGGGGAATGCTTGAGGAGGAGGAGGAGGATGAAGATGAGGAAGAGCGAGAGGAGTGCTTCTTTTCTTCCTCACTGTTGTGGACAAAGTGGCAGCGGATCCCGTACGGGCAGAAGCCGATGGTGTGAAACGTACGGCATGGCTCAGTTTTGTATTTTGGATGTCTGTTAAGATCCCGCAGCTCTTCTGGCCCATGAGCAAACTGGCACTTCCCACCATACTTGCACAACCCGTTCTCAGTGAAAGATCGACACAGTTCAGTCTTATAGCGTGATGAGGAAGAGGAGGTGGAAATGGATGAGGTGGACGAGGAGGAGCTAGCGTTGAGTGCAGTGGGACTGATGTCACTTTGGGAGTGCTTTATGTCAGTCCCGGGCCAGCCTAGACTTGCTGCTGTAGTGCTGCTAGTCTCTACCATGCTGACAGAGCGCTGGGCAAGGAAGCCTGACTTTCCCCACTGGGAGGAATCAGAAAGCTGGGAGGGCAGCCAGCTTTCTGACTGCTGCCCCCTTTGGCTGGAGGTCAAAAATACACTGACAGAAGGGTCAGTGGGGAGACAGAGGGATGATAGAGAAAATGATGTGTTGCTACGTGGCTGACCGTTGTAACCTGGGGTTCCCATTGCCAGACTGCGGGATGGTAGCCGTCTGTCTGACTCCCTCAGGTCGAGATTGAGTAACTGCTGTAGAAAGAACAGGTGATAACAAAACATTAGCCCATAACTATTATAATTAATATCCAGTGATACATTTTTCAAAATCTCGGCGGCATTCCGTTATTGACGACTGTTGACATTTCACTTAGAGACTACAGAGCAATTAAAGCACAGCTATGCCATCGATCAACAAGGATGTAATCATTTTCAGTTTCCACACTCAATCTACATTTGGCAAATGCAAAATACTGTTGTTTATTTGTTTTTTTTTTAATTCTCTCCTGATGCACTCCTCAATGTGATTTCTGGTAAGCATTACTTGAAATATACTTTTCTTTTTTTTTTGGCATCCTGAGTAAATGAAAGTATAAAGTATATAAATATTGGTGTAAAAGTGTATGTAAAAACATGAACATTTGCCAAACATTCATTTTTTTTATTTTTAATTTCTATTATCACAGGTAAGAATACATTCTGATGCAATATTCAAGGCGGTGTGGTGATGCTTCAAAACTTGTTTCAGTGTTGTAAACTATTGCTACATTGCATTAGTAAAGGAGTAGTTTAAACCCACATGTGCTTACCTAGGTGACTATAAGACTGATATTTACAACTGGTCATAACAATGAGCTAGATCAAAAATAATATTTGAAATATTATATCACATTGCTGCTGCCATTTGAACTGGGGGACAAATTGTGGTAGGTGACTACCGTATTTCTGACAGCAACACCATCAAAAATCAAAAAACAGCAGAAATCTCTTCTACCTCTCTACCACAGAAATTTAACCTGGCATCCTACACATAGTCTACTGTGATGGGAATAGGCAGGGAAGACTTACAGTATGCTGCTGTGCACCACATGCAGTACAGTGAAACCCTTGTCATTTTATTAAAATAGCATTACACTGCATGTCATTAGTTACAGAGTTAAACATCTTGCTGTAAGCGCAGCCTCACAGCTGTAACTGGTGACTTTTGGTTGTTTCAAGCACAAAAAGCTCTGGTTGGTAACGGTGCTGTTTTGATTGAACCTGTTGGCGTCGTCTACCGTTAATAAGCAACCGATATTACTAGTAACCTGCTTGTAACCTGTCGTGGCAAATTACTACCTAAAGTGGTTTTATCTTAGACAAAATGACCGAGTTAGCTAATAAGTAGACAGTTTAATGGGCCCATGCTGCGATGCACAGTTAACACCAGCCTTAACTTCGCTCCCACTTTTTGACAAGTTAGCCTCAGGTCCAGGCTAACTTTCAGCTCACATAAAACCCTCAATAAAGACCCCGATTAATAATAAACAGTCAAAACAGAACATCAACAGAATCCGCTAAAAAATGAGACGTTAACAGATGAGGAGAGCAAACAACGTAAAGTTAGCGTAGCTAGCTAAGCTAGCGTTAACCCCTCCAGTGACCTAGCCAACTTTTGCTCCACTCTCCGCTCAACTTTCTTTGCGCTTTCCGTTTACCTTGCACATCATCTCCTCCAGGTCCGCAAACTGGATGAGTTTGGGGTAAGATGGCATTATATTGAGTTATCAAAGGCTTCGTCCGATCCCCGTCTGCCCCCGCACTGATAGACGTGGGTAACTCGCTGGCATGAGTTGGTCAGAAGTTTCCAGCAGTGTCTGCGGTGCCAAACAAGCCCAAGACCCGGACCACGTGTGGATTTAAAACCTAACACCGCTGTTAGCCACTCCCACGACTCTGAGAGTCAGCCCCGAGCTGCTTTCACCAGACCCCAGTCCTGAAAGCTGCTTGAGGCCCCCAGGCTCCATGAAATGTAAACTTAAACAACATTAAGTTCCTGTTTTCATCGTGAACATATCATTTTAAAATATTTGTAGGCACTTCTGTTGTCGAGGAAGGACATTGTGATTGAACCTTATCCAGACAACTTTAACACCATTGTTTTTGAAATACTGTGTTCTCATCTGCTGCATGGTAAGTGAATAAATGAAAGCTATAATTATTTAATTGTGAAGCATATACATTAATATAAAGTTGGGGATTTTTATTTATAAAATGATTTATTTATATCTTTATATGAAGTTATTCTACACATATAATTTTATTTCCCAGGGGGCTCAGCCAGCGTGATGCTAATAAGTGGTTCTTTGCTGGAAAGTGCAGGCCTTGTCAGTGATATCACCAAAGCTTTGGTCTGATAATGATGTATATGTAGCTGAAATAATATCATCCTTGCCACCAAATTAATTAGACCTAATGCAAAACTTTTACCCACAATCCTGATATTTTATGATTATGTCCACTGGCTGATGACTGATGTTCATAAAACTCCCTCCTGGGATAAATCTAAAGCATAAATATGCGTTTTTCCCTGTTCTTTCAAGCCAAATAACTATGTAAAGTTGTGTGTCTTTTATCAGATGGAGTAGTTGGAGGAAGTGCCACTGGTAGAAGCTAAAACAAATTAAAGAAAGGTTATAACAAAGGAAACCACAAAAAAGCAGGCAAACGCAAGTGTCTGCAGAGAAACACCCACAAGAAATGGCTTCCACAAGGACAAAAAAAGGAACACAGGCAGAAAAAAGGAGAGCTGAACATATGGGTAGAAAAGTATGGAGACACCCTAGCCCTTTGAGACAGACAAGGAGGAGCGAAGGCTTTGATTTCAAAGGTAAAGGTAGAAGTGTGAAAAATTTCACCACAGAGCAGAGCCATGAGAACACACAAACGCAGGGTTGCTCCTCTATCTTTGCAGGGACGAGAAATATACTGTATAAACTGTATTTCCTTAAACTCAAACCTTATATTCACCTATTAGACTAATCACAAACTGCCAAAGTTAGCACTGACAACAAACGTCTCATTCTTCTACCGTCACTGGTAAGACATTTGATCCTCACAAAGATAGAACACACACACACACACACACACACACACACACACACACACACACACACACACACACGCACACACACACACAGTTCTCCCAGGAGTGAAGTTGTCACACCTCTGGGATTGTAAGGAGCATTGCAACAGCATGTGCAGTGGTCAGACAAGTTGGCAAACAGTTGGCTGCAACTTCAGAGTAATAAACAGCTTTCAGTTTGTTCTGTACAGTTCAGTTCTTCTAGTGGCCAGATATAAGGGTTTGATTCCCCCCGGGGCAGGTCCTGCTCAAAGTGAAACATATGGTTAGAACGAAAGCACAAAGTTGTAAAAAATAAATATTTAAAGCGTTCAGCGCCTACTCTGGGGAGAAGTTCTTGAAACTAGCTCATAGCTCTGAGCCCCCTTCACAAAGATGAGCTCAGCTGAGAACAAAGCCTGCCAAAAAGCTTTGTTTTGGTCCAGCCAAGTGGTCACCATTAAGTGTGTGTGTTTGTATGTGTACACATGCTTGTGTGTGTTTGACAGAGGGTCTCAAACCCACCCCACCCCCCTTATTTTGTGATGATGTAATGGTATAGGTACATTCTACCACTGTGCTGCCTCAGGGTTGTGTGAGCCAGCCGTGTTTTGACTTGTGTGATATGCATGTGAAGCTGTATTGGTGTCCTTCCTCACATACCTGTGGCGTCCTGATGTCCATCCTGTCTCGGACATGTTCCACATAAACATGACTCCCTATGTCAGTCAAAACATTTCTTTTGTCTCTGCTTTTGCTTTATAAATTCTTCAATCGTATTTAGATGCAGTATCATCCAGATACACCAGACTGGCAGTTCTCACCTGGCTCTAAATGCACCTGGCTCCAAATGCATCTTTTTAGTGACCTTTTGTTATTGGATTTCACTTCCTTTAGAAACTCACCACAAAATAACACTTCAAGCATTGTTACTTCCTTTCCCCCCCCCCCCAACAAAACAGGAACATTTATTCTCCGTAGGTAAATCAGCTGGGGGGGGGGTTGTTGTAGATTATGCACAACTGGCCATGGCTGATAGAGAAGGAATGACAGATCAAAACCACCAGGCCAGCGCAAGGCCCCAAATATGTTGACAAACTTCAAGACCACCCCCTAAATATAGTCGCTTCTACTCATATGACCCAAGATGCATTTAATGCAAAGTGTGAACAAGGCCTAATTATATTGCGACTGACCTCTGGGTGCGAACCCTGACATGAGATGCTGCCCTAATTAGTTCATCGTCTTTAACAGGTTGGGTCTGCATGTTTGTTTTCTTTTTGCCCTGAAATGAAGACCACCACTGTGAACAACAAGCCATTAGCAAGATGTCAACAGCATGAGTGCCTTGAGGTAAGCAGGCCCTTCTGTTGATTTGGTTAAGTAAACAAATGTTATCTATAAACAAGCTATTTGGTCAGCAAGTTGAGTTTACTTCTATAAACAAATCTCTTTTGGGTGAGTTGGGGGATTACTGAGAGTATGGGGGAGAGGATTGAGAGTATTGGGGGGGGGGCGCTTTCTGAAGCAAGGGGGGGAGGGGAGACATTTGAAAGAGAGTCCTGGCTTCTTGTTGAGTCCAGCTGGGCTACAGGGCCTTTGGAGCACAATGAGCTCAATGAGCTGCAGAACCAACTAACAAACTAATGGCCCGCCCTCCGCGACTCAACCCCCATAGATATACACACACACACACACACACACACACACACACACACACACACACACACACACACACACACACACACACACACACACTGTGGAAATAACAGAGGGTGGTGAATGGGTGAGATAGAAAGGCTTGTTAGGAGGAAAGAGATGGGGGTGAGGAGAGGGATGAAGGGGCAGGATTGGGGGCTATTTAGAAAAAAACAGGGGAAATGAGAGAGAGGAAGGCATTGAGGGATTGAAGGTGGAGGAATCCGAGGCAAGAGATGGTTAGTAAAGACCGGCTCCATGCACAAAAAAGGTTTATCTATGGATTCGGGATTAATCAAGCAGATGCATAACAATGTGTCATGGGACGGGGTCCCTTGCTTTGTCATGTAATCTTGCAGTGGAATAATTAGCCAAATCCTTAGGAAGGCATTTGCAGATTCAACATCTGTTTGATATTAGAAGCAATTTCCAGAGGTGACATGACAGTGTGGGGTACCCATTTTGAGGGAATGGGATGGAACAATGCAGTCATATGTTTTCTAAAAAGAAGAATGGGAAGGATGCCCGGGGAGAGCCAGTTTGGGGATATAAGTAAAAGACAGGGGTCGAGTAGGAGAGTGAGGTAATCCATGACCACACCATAGTCGACAGTGTGTGCGAGTGCGGAGTGAAACATTTGTATTGCAGCATGTGTTTGTGTGTGTGTGTATGTGTGTTAAAAAGAGTGAGACACATTCACACACATACTTGCACACTCAAATCTATTGAAACTCTCATGATTAAGTGAAGTCATTCCTCCACAGCCCCACGCAGGCTTCTTCAGATAAGAGGCTACTATTACGAGTGAAATAATAAAGAAGGGAGGGGAGGAGGGGCTTGTAGACCTGATGAACATCTGCTCCTCTTTTCCTCCCATTTCTTCCACCCCCCCCCACCACCACCACCACCTTCCTTCTTTCACAATGTACCCCCTGCCCCATTCACTTGTTTATGTGTGTGTGTGTGTGTGTGTGTGTGTGTGTGTGTGTGTGTGTGTGTGTGTTTGTGCTTACAGAGGGCCTCACAGAGGGATTCACAGAGTTTGAGATTTTGGGAGAAAGTTTCTCTGACAGTCTGTTATGATGAAACCAATAACAAAGTCACTCCACCTCTTCTGCCAAACTTAAGCATCTATTTTATGAAATTATATGAAAAAAATATATTTTTCCTTCATGGACGCAAATGCAGTACCATCCTAAAAAAAATAATTTTTTAAAGATGATATTTTCTGTGTAGCAAGCTTGGGAAGACTGAAAACATAACAAGTGAAATGATGTAAAATATGTGTATTATATAAAGACGTGACTGCTACCTCATGAATAAACATGATAACCAGAGTGACTGCACTGGAATGTTCATTTATGCATAAATACATAACAACTTTGACTCTCTCTCTTGTGTCTGTTTTATGCACACACACACACACACACACACACACACACACACACACACACACACACACACACACACACACACACACAAGTACATGCTCACACACCCTGAAACGCCGCACAGTAGGGTTCTACTCACAGGGCAAAGGTTATAACCTAACCTCTGAACTCTGACATCACCCCCTCCATCTCCTCCTATCTTGCCCACTGGAATTCACTCCTGTGGATTCAATTAGAAAGCCAGAGAGGAGGTGAGCGAGAGAGGAGGACGCTGAAGTCTGAAAAACAAGACAACAGTGACAAATGTCTGAAGACAGACCAGCGTGGAGAGGCAGACAATGACCCAGGGTGGAGAGAGTGATGGGGGAGAGTTAAGACATTAACTCTTTGGACACATTTGTTTTGGCCAAAATGGTCTGTGTGTACATCTGGGGTTCCACAACACACACACAGTGATCCTATGTTTCTTGTACTTTTGCTCTGGGGAAGTTTTTCATGGTTCAGGCTTGTCCACATGGTTCCACTTAAAGGAACTCTTGCTACAAGACACAATGATATGTCATCGATATCCATCTGTCTTATTAGCTTATTCTTCTATATCTTGCCGTAATGCCTTTTGTGTGTTGTGTAAAGCCCTTTGTATCG